GCTTATTTGTAGTTTAACCAATCAGTTCTGCTTCGACATTCATCAATGGAACGGGGTTTAATGTCATTGCTTAACATGATCTCAATAACTACTACATATGCTAATGCATCGTAGATGATTTTCATTTCTACACCAAACATCATCCAAGCTAGCATAATGGACCAAAATTTCACGATTCTTGGGAGGTGGATTCATCTTTTCAAAGACTCTTCTGTAATCTAGAATTTCCTCATGGGTTGGATAGAATGAGTATGCGACAGTCGGATTCATTGTAGGCTCTTCAGGAGCCTGTGTCGTGGGTTTCCTTTTCCAGGGGTGTGAATCATTTTAACTAAGAGGTCTGAATCATTGTGTAGGGGCAAATGATTGGCTAGCCGCTAATGTACGTCGATCGGCTAAAGTGGGAGTTGTACATTTGGTATGCCCATCTTTGTAAGCACATTCGCAGCTGGGGTATGTGATCATGTCACTAATCAGTGAAAGCATTTGGCATGTTCTGAGCTATGCTCTGAAGATCTAATATGCGATACACTTCAGTTTCAAACTGAGCGGTGTGGGTATCTAAATCAGACAAATTAGGAGTCGTCCATAATAATTCGCGTCGTTCTTCAGCAACATTGACGCTCTTATCTCTCCTTAACGATGCAAAGATTGTCTCATAGAAGTGACAATCCGTGAAACAAGTGATAAACAGATCGCCTATCAAATGTTTTAAGTAATAAATGATTGAAGGAGAAAAAACAAAAAGCTCAAAAAAAAAAAAAAAAAAAAAAACGTTCGTCCGGAACGTGGAAAATAGAGTGCCTCATCAATGGTCAAAATTGTACCATTGGACAACATTATACGTGTCTTACCGTATCCTTCGATCAGGTTGGATAGGCTTCAGAGGGTTGTTAGAAGTGTATTCTTAGGTATGAAGTTAGTGAAATAAATGCGTTTATGCAAACCGGTGTGCATGGTTACTATCTGCCAAACAACTAACTTTTCCACTAGTCATACCTATAAATAAAAATTAATTTGAATCGGTCACATGCATACAATTTCTTAAAACAAATATCCATTCAAAATAAAACAAATCACCAACAAATAATCTAAACATAAAGGAAAATTGTTCAAAATTAAACAAAAAAAACAAGGGGGGGTTCAGCCCCTATGTGGAATTCAGGTCCCATTATTCTAAAATTTAACTAGAAATAGTTCATGTCTAAGATTATAATCTTCTATAGGGGTGGTATCCTCTTGAAAGTTAGAAACCTCCATCTTGGTACTTTCCGATTCATTCACTTGCACAAAGTTTGATTCAAACTTCTTACAATGAGAATGATATTTAGTTACAACCTTCTGGGGAGCACAACAAACACAGGACCAATGGTCCTTAGAACCACAACGATAGCACATATCCGCATCCATGGTTTCAGGTGCTTTGCCCTTATTCTTGAAGTCTGGGGTCTTGAGAGTGATGTTAGGGCGCTTATGGGCTCAGTTTCCTCCCTTAGGTGGGCCTTGGCTCTATTTACCTTGACGGGGTGGCTTCTGGCCACCCCTACCACGCCTATGTTGGCGTTTGGACGTTGGTTTGTGCGATAATGTGCTTCAGGCAAAGCTGTCACCCCAGTAGGTCAAGCTTAATGATTTTTCATCAACAATTGATTCTGCTTTTCAACGAGAAGTAAAACAATGATCAAATTCGAAAACTTAGTGAACTTCTGAGCCCTATATTATTGCTGCAGGACAATATTAGTAGCAGAGAAGGTCGAATAGGTCTTCTCCACAAGATCCTCTTCGGTCAAGGTCTTGTTACATAACTTGAGAAGTGATCAGATTCGACAAACTTCATTATTATATTCATTCCTAGACTTAAAGTCTTGGAAGCACAAATGCTGCCAGTCATGTCTTGCTTTAGACAAGAAGATGTCATTTTGGTGATAAAAACGATCAACCAAAGCAGCCTAGAGTGCTCAAGGATGAAGATGTCTTCAGATGAAGAACATGGCAGTGGCTTTCTCAGGTTTGCCAACCGGGTTGTTCATCTCATCTTCAATGGTGGGACACAAATTCTTTGCAGTGAGGTAGAGCTTCACATCTTGGACCCACTTGAGGTAGTTTCTTCAAGAGACCTTCAAAGTGGTGAAGTTGAGTTTGTTCAAATTCGACATTTTCCTATCACAAAATAAATGGACAAGACGTAGTTAGTGTAATGGAGAAAGAAAAAAAAAATCAATCCATTCACATAAGAGTAGAACATTCAGGTTCTAATAGACATGTATAGGTTTAAATTTACATGAAAAAGCTTTGGGTTTTCATTGGTGATGTTTTTTAAGGAAAACTTCAGGTTTTCAAACAAGGCATGTTTCTAGAAACTTCAGGTTTCGAAATAATTATGAACTTTAGGTTCATATGTTCCTGTAGGCAAGCACAAATATATATAGAGAAATATGCAACAAGGAAATATGCAAATAGATTTTCAAGGTCTATTATTATTATAATTAAAGTAATTATTTCGATTTCAGACCAAAATTGATGTGTGGGTGAAAAATTATAAAACTCAAATAGTCTAAAAAAAAAAAAAAAAAAAAAAAAAGCTCGGGGCCCAAGCCCAAAGCCCAAGGATGGGTTGAGCAAATTTGTGTCGAGTAGCCCAAGCCCAAAAATATGATGTGGTGGACACGGGCTGATCAGGTCAAAAAGAATTAGGTTGCGAGACCTGTAGTAGCAAACAGTTGCAAAAATAGGGTTCAAAACAGAGGCTATATGGGCACTGATCAAATATGGCGCAGCACAAGTGCACCGATCCACCAGCTATAGGCTGGGATTGTGTGCATGCAGGAACACGAATGCACCAGCACGGGGCTGGGATCTCGTGCAAAGCGTGCATGTGGGATACCATAGCCCTTGGGCTGGTGTCACGAGTTGGGCCGAACCGTGGTGTTGGGCTGCTTCAGGGAAGCCTAGTTAAAAGAAAATTTCTTTATTTTTTAGCAGGCTAACCTAATATGGGCTTCGGGTTTTGGTGTCCAAAACACCCCAACATGTGTTGGGTAGCTTCGCCGAAGAAAGAGACCGGCACCACCGCTACGAGCGGATGAGTTCTAGGTTGAAAACCATGGTGCAGGTCCATGAGTTCGAAGGGGAACAAATCCAAGTGACAGAGAAAAGGTTTCTCAATCGAGGAATTTAGAACCAAAGATTCGAAAAAAAATTCGAAGGAATTCTTCTGGATTTCCATTCAGTCGTCATCCAAGACGATGAAAGTAGCCCAAGAACACGACTTCAGGTCGTAGTTGCCCAGAAAAGAAGACGGCAAGGTCGTGGCTTATGACGATAAGAGGGGGTTTTCTGGATTTTGGGATGACACTAGGGACGGCGTCGTTTTGGTTCATTCATAGGGGTGGAGCTTCAGGCTCCATGGGGTTGGCTCGAGTCTTGGGTTCGAAGAACCTTAGAAGAATCATGTTTTAATTTTTTTTTCAATTAGTTCAATGCATATGTATTCAAATAATTTAATGCATGGATATATATTTGATGCAATTCTTGGCAATATCAAATCACATAATTCAACAATTATGGATATAATGCATACACAATTTATGTAGAATCTAAAATTCGAAAAACATAAAGTTGGGTCATGCATTATGGTAAATGTTCATGCTATCAGGGCTACAAAAATATCGAGATAAAAACCATTATTTTGAAAGAACTTGATTGCTTGATGATATTGGTGAACTAGTTTGATGCATAAAACTTCCACGTCAGATTCCTAAGTGCAGCGGTAAGAGCGTGTTGTGACCTATATTTAACTGACAATGAGAGGGTGGTCGGCGGCATAGAGAAAATATAGAGAGAGATATGTGTTTATAGGGTTGCATAGAGGATGTGTTATTATCCCTATGCAATGCCTTTATTTATAGTAATAAAGGAAAGAAGAAATCCTTCTCCTTCACGGAATACAAGTCCTAATAGGGAAACATAACTATAATAAAATATAATTTAAGATTTACACAATCACATTTAAATAAGAAGTTTATAACAATAACTGATTTATAAGGCAATGAAAGGAAAATGAATTGTCGATTTTTAGGCTAATTAAATACCTACTTTCAATTACCACTTAGTACTACACTTTAGCGATATTCTTCACTTGTAACTTAAGTGATATGTTTTTGGTTCGATTTTTGCCAAAGACGAATATGAACCACATTATTACTAGTTTATTGTAAAACTAAGCTCACCTCCTCTTTCTTAGTATAGATATTGTTGGTTCAAAAAAGTAAAAAAAAACCTAGTTTCAATTGAGAGTGGAAGTTGCATGGCATACAATGAATAAAAAAAGTACATAAGAAAAAACAAATGAGAAGATAATTAGCATTTTTCAAAAAAGATATTCAGAAATCAACCAAAATTTTTTTTACTTTTCTTTCTCTGTTAATTGAAGTAACTTCCGTTTCGCACATAGAAATACATGTGCGAGGCACCCATAAGTGTCACACAGAGCGACGTCGTTGTAATCATGGTTTAAGTATCAAACACATTTAATTCCAAACTTTGAGACCTTCACAAATACAACTAGTTACCAAAGGTTAATTAGTCCTGATTTAAGTAACTTTAGCAGCCTAAAATGCTCACAAAAATATGCAAAATTTACATGTGGTCGCTCAAAATATGCCAAAAAAAATCAAAAATTAAATATAAACATTCGAAAGATGTTATTATTGATGATTAAATTATTTAATTAACATAGTTTATTCTCTCTTGATGACACATTATATAATTTACAAATTTAATATAAAAAGTTAGATTCAATTAACATTACTCTCTAAGAGTAATGCTAACGAGACCAAATTTTTTAAACCAAATGATGTGTCATCAATAAGAAATAAACACGTTATCGACATTTAATTAATACTCAAATCATACATCATTTAGTTCATAAATTTAGTTTAAAAAATTTAATATATGTGACATTTCTCTTACTTTAAACTTCTACCACCAATAATAGTAACTGTTCCACCATTACACACTGCAACACAGTGTCACTAGTCATCATTACTCTGTAAAAAGAAGCAAAAGAGAGACACGTCCAACGGTGTGAAATTAACATAATCAATACAGCAGAGAGAGGAAATACAAGCCCCACCACAAAATTGGGAGAGATTTTACTTCAAAGTTATCACCTCACCAATCAACAAGAAAAATGGCACCAAAAAATTAACCATAATTAAGTGTCATCTATTTAATAATTTGTGACGGTCGTCTAGAAGACTCCCTCCCCAAGCCACAAGAGTGTATACCAACCTCCCAAAGGTTTACATATCCATGCCCCTAAAATCGCTCTGCAAATGATTTTACTTACTCATGCTATCAGCTGTCCAATTTCATGCACAAACTCAATACAGTGGCGCCCGGTGTGGAGTCCCCTTCCTCCGGTTCATCAACCGGGCTGAGATTTCCGACACGGGTAAAAAAACCGGTCGACAAGCAGCCGGATATGCGGACTTGTTACTTCTCTTTTTCCTCACAATTTCGGTCGTGGCAGTGCAGGCCAAGGCCAAACAACTCACCTCGCCACACCCATAAGACCCAGACGACGTTCGGGTTGAACCGCCGGTTTGAGAACCGAGTCAGGTGTCATCAGACCGTCGTCTAAACCGGATTCAGGTAAAGCCATGAACTTGCACTCGCGGAGATACTTGGAAAGGCCACCTTCTGTTCTTATAACGTGATCAATCTGAAAAAACGAAAAATGAGAGAGACCCAAGAGAGATAAACTGGAAAATCGAAAAGGGTTTCTGAGAAAATTGAGAAAGAATGAGAAATCAGAAAGACCCGAGAGAAAATAATTGAAAAATTGTTGGGTGACAAAACCTTGCAGTGGAGGGAGCAGAAGAGATATGGGTCTTGCAGGTTTCTGTCGCAGGTGCTGCAGACGTTGCCGGAGCCTCTGCAATTCTTTGTTGGCCTCTGGTTTAAAAATACCACTTTTGCACTGTTGGTTATGTATGACTGTAGAGAGAGAAAGTGTGGCCCTTTGAGAATATGCTCACAAACACACAGAATATCAGGAAAAAAAAGGGATTTTTTGGAATCAGAATTGAACTCAAACATGGTTGGTCTGTTGTTTCAAAACCTATTGAGCAAAGCATAGTCCAATTTTTCAGCAAGCAGAAAGAAACTAAAAAGTTTTGCCTTTTGGGCATAAAAAACCCCAACTTTTTTCCATTTACTTTTTTTGAGATGACAACTTGTGAACCAATCAAATCCATACATATTATGTATATATAGTGGACGATGATCTGCTTGAAGAAATAAAGAAACCCAGAAAGTTAAATTAAGCTGAAAAGTAGGGAAATTTATTCTTACTTGAATAGAAGAACAGTCGAATAACTTGGCAGCATCATCCAACCTTATGACATCGTTGTACACATACCTCCTTATCTGAAAATTCTCAACAAAAAAAGAAGAAATTAAGCATGAAAAATCAAAGCTATTGAGGATAATTTTTATTTAAGCAGTGAAATTTTGAAGGAAAATTCAAAATTTAAAGAATTATTACCTGCAAAAGTCGGTGAGAGGTATGGGGGCTGAGGCAGTGAGGGCAGAGGCTGATGCAACAGTCCAGACAGTAGACGTTCTTCTCGTTCTTCTTTGCCTCCTCGTGAATTATGCAAGCGTTGAAGAATTTCTCAGTCAGCAGGACCTCCAGCCAGTGGGGAAGAAGATTTGCAGGACCAAACTATGAACACAAATAAATTTAAAAAAAATGGAAAGAAAATTTAATTAGTTTCCCAACACAAACACAGAGAGCTATGAATTGAAGTTGGAGAATTTAGGGTCAGTGAGAAAAACCCACCATTTTTTCCTTTCTTGTTGAGAGAGAGAGAGAGAGAGAGGGTGTGTGACAATTGTGTTCAGGGAGTAGTAGCCCTCATCGTAGAGAGAGAAAACTTGGACATTGAGAGAGAGGGAGGGGGAGAGAGATGGAGAAACGGCGCCTGGCAAATACCGATACACAAGTATCGCCCCTTACCAATGAGAGAACAAAGGAGAGGGGAGAGAGGGTTGGCAACATTTATTGAGGTGGTACGTAAAGTTTTTCAAGAAAATTTCTATTATTTTTCTTTTGTATTCAAGCCATGTTCTAATTTAACTAACCCTAAACATGTTGTCGTCTATTTGTAATTCTACTGAAAAAAACTTGAAATGCGCTGTCTTAATCCAATTAATTTTTTCTTTTTCAAAAAAAATCAGCTAGCAGTTTCGTTACAACTGTCTATTATTTTGGAGACAAAAAAGATAAAAGCATTATAGTCTTTTCTTAACCATCATTGTACGATTCATCAACATCAGAAATCAAACTCAAGCATAACGTGTAAAATACAAAGTCGAAATTCGGCTCTAATCACTAGGCCACCCCTTAATGATTGTCTTAACCTAATTTTATGGATAAATACAAAACATTGATTAGTGCGTAAATTGTAATTTTTTTATATTAATGACAAAACCGAAATTTTAAATAACATTTTATTTTGAGGAATGAAAACCTAGTAGATACGCTTGAAAATAAAGTTGAGTGTATAAGTGTTTTACAAGCAAAACAAAAAATGTGAAAAAAAAAAAAAAACGAAAAAAAAATAAAGAATTATTTAGTGGAAATTGGGAAATCAAAAAATCAAAACTTTCCCCCTTTTATTCTATAAGTATTGCTGTTTACTAGGAGCCCACGTCCCGATAACCCATAAACCCTAACCAAATACTTCTTTATTACGTCGGATCGTTGTGCTCTCGTTCTCTCTCTGTCTCTGAGTCATCACTGTGCTAAGTGCTAAATGACAAGAAAAGAAACAGTGGCCTTTCTCAGCTCTCAGTGGAAAAAGGATAAAAAAATATTAGGTTAATCTCTGTATACTATTTTAAAGTTTTGTGGTTTTCAAAATATTTGATGCATGAAGTTTTTTTTATCCTAAAATTATACCTCTAAGTCTTAAATTTGAAACAGTTTCATACTTCTGTTAAGATTTCTGTTAAAACTTCGTTAACTGATGACGTGACATCCACGTGAATAATAATTAGACGCTACCTGGATATTAAAAAATAAAATAATTAAAACTAAAAATAATTAAAAATAAAAAATAAAACTTTGTCTTCCTCCTCCCTTGTACCCTGCACTCTCCTACCCCCACTGCATTTCCCAAAACCCCACTGCCCTCTGTAAAATCCCCAAAACCATGTCTAGAACTAAAAGCAGTACCGAAGATGGAAAAGCATTAGGAATAATCCCATTGCTCTGCATCTTCCTGAAAATCCTCTTAGCATCATCGAACTTCTGTGCTTTGCAAAACCCATCAACCACAGCAGTGTATATAACAACCTCAGGAATATTACCCTTTTCGCGCATCGACCCAAAAAGCTTCATGGCCTCCTGGACCAACGCATCTTTGCATAGCCCGTCAGGCATTGCCACCACATTCGGAATTAGACCCGTCTCCTTCATCATCATGAATATCTGGTCCGCTTCTTTCCGCAGCCTGTGGTGGCTCGGGAACTTCTTGAGGCTCCTCCCTCTTCGACTTGTCGAGTCCTAGCTTCAGCTTTCCAGCACCGTCAAGAGCTCCATTGTGTTGCACATCAAATCCTCAGAACCCCAAAACCCCGTCGCAGGCAAAACCGAAGACAGAAAAGCAGCATCGTCAGGAGCGATTCCGGCTCCGACATTAGGAGGCGCAGTGGCAAAGAATGGAAGAGCGAGAACGGGAGGATACGGCGTCGTTGGTGGGTCTGTGTGTTCGATCTGGACCTCAGATAGACGCCTCAGAACGCAATTTTTCAGATCCAACGGTGGCGGGTCTCGGTGTTCGAGCTGGACCTCAGATCGACGACTCTGAACAGACTCAGTACCCAGTCAGCGTTGTGGGTGGCTGTGGGTTTGAACTGAAGCTTCATGGAAGCAGAAATGGCGGAATCTGGTGACAAACCACATAATTTTTTGAGGTAACAGGCTGTAAAAAGTTGTGGGTCGGCGAAATTCGAGAACTTGGAGGTGGTTTTCGGAAACGGAGGTTGGGAAATGGAGTAGGAGTAGGAGGTTGAGGGTGCATAGGACAAATCTAGAGGTGGGTTTAGGCCTAAACATGGTTTTGGGGATTTTACAGAGGGAAGTGGGGTGCTGGGGGAAGAGGGAGGAGGAAGACAAAGATTTAATTTATTTTTTTATATTTTTTAGTTTTTATTATTTTATTTTCTAATATTCACGTTACGCCGAATCATTATCCAAGTGAACGTTACATCATCAATTAACAGAAGTTGTAACAGAACAACTTCAAGTAGCAAACAGAAATTAACCCAAAAAATTATTTACAGAGAACAGGTTTATCTTCTTACAGAAATGTATCCTTTTACTGTGTTTTGATCTAATAATACATTGCATTGTCCATCTAATTTTTTTTTTGTGTAAATTACAATGCGTTATTTATTGGAACATCATGCGAGAAAATTTTATAACAATAGTACATAATCTCGGTAAAAAAAAACCTTCATTTGATAATTTCGTCTGGTTATACTCGTTTTTGTTATAAAAAGATCAAGATTAGAGAAATAATCTTTTTAATAGGTAGATGCAAGGATAGATGTAAAATGTCACACTAAAACTATAGCACAAGAGGATAACAAATAAAAGGCAGAGAAATAGATGATGTTACTGATATTTTTCTCTCGTTCTCTTCTTCTTATATTATCTGTAACTTGAAAACATACGGAGTACTCTATTTATAGAGCAACTCCAAAGTGATGCATTAACTGCATATTGAAACTTACCGCGCTTCCTTTGACAATACAATTTCTATGTATTTACATATTCAACTTTTACTTTGCATGAGCATTGAAAACTTCTGCCTAGCTGAAGACTTCTGCTAATATACTGTAGGTATTCATTACCCATTAGACTTTTCAACAGTTTTGTCAATTTCTGTCAAAGTTTGACATTTTATTACACACAATAGTGTCGCACCCAAGATATAAGAGAAGGATGACAAATGAAAGAACGAAGAAAAACTACGAATAGTCATACGATATACATGGGGTCAAACATAAGAAGCACAGGTTGTAAGTCAGTGTTTTTAATCCTTAATTTCAATGACAGCAGCAGCGTCTAAAATTAAATATACATTGGAGTTATGAATTATAGGGGTCATAAGTAGCCAATAACCACAAGTTCGCTCAGGATAAAAATTCTTAATTTCAGTATAACATTTTTACCCACCTTTTCTTCATTCGATATTTTTAAGTAACTATTTTTGTGTAATTTGTCGGGAAAAACTGAGTCTTTGACGTTCAGTTTACACGAGGAATGCAATAATATTTTCATGTTAAGGCAGTAGCCCATATTTTTACCATTTTGTTGGCAGCAGAAACCTAAAGATTATTTTTTAACCAAATAATAGATTTATTAGATTATATAGTCGATATGATTCGAACCCACATAAAATATAAGAATAACACTTATCTTCGATGGATACTTGCATAAATATTGCTTTGTTAGAAACGGAAAATGCCAGTGTAAAAGCATGCCGGTCTGCTAGTTAAATTTGTCCAAATTTTGGTCAAAGCTACTTAGTACATTTTTTATGAGGAGAGAGGCAATATAAATGAAGATTAATGTTTCGTGGACAATTTGTCTGCACAAAAAGGTGTGTAGAATCAATCTATACCATTTATTCTGCATTAGCAAACATTAATATGTAGTTTTGTTGACCACCGTCGGAAAGTGTTGGAATAACATGTAATTTTCGGTATGACTGTTTGATTATGAAAGTTCTCACATTGAATAAAATCACAATCGTCTTTGTAAAGAGAAGATTAAAACCGATTCTTTGTTACCTTGTCGAGGGTAAACTCAAATACAGCGGCATCAAGGGAAGCCATAACTCGTATGTCATAAGAGATATCTTCGCTAACATGTATACAACATGCCCACGAACGCATTTGCATCTGTATTCGCCTTGTGTTGGTTGAGTTTAAAGTTAGGAAGTATAGCATTATCCTTTTGCTGTTTTTGAAAATATTAAACATAAACTAAACTATTATTAACACTCTAAGGGGCCGTTTGTTTACCCTCACTAAGTAGGACTGGACTGGACTGGACTAACTATTAGTCTAGTCCTGTGTTTATTGTTGCACGGGATTAATGTTAATGAGACTAGTTGGGATTAGCCTAGACTAAGGACATCGCTAAAGATTCTTAGCAAGAGTCCTTGGAAACCATGGGACTAGCTAAGACCCCTCTCTGCTCTCTGTTTCACGAGACGTCAACCACATTGTTCCCGCTTTCCCTTTTACACCACCAGACGACCACCACCCTCTCCCCCCTCGCCCTAAACCCACAATCACAAGACCTCAGATTCGCCCATCCCCGAGATGCTTTATCGCCGAGCTCGTTGTCGAGAGGCAACACTTTTCTGCTTAGTTCCTCGGCTTCATTGAATCCCAATCTTGCTCTTCCAAAACCAATTTCAAACACAGATCTAACGAACCTGCAACGCTTCGCCAGACAACTTTTGTATTCAATCTCTCCTCATTCGATTCGTTGTGGGTATTTTGGTCCTTCACTCATAACTCCACCAATCTGCTCCTAGAGAAGAATCAGTCGCCGCCATGTTTCTGCTGGACTGCTTCTACGGGTTGTGGTAGAGGGAGGCCAAGATTCTATTTCTGGGTTTGGATGGCGATTGGGATGATTTGGGGACTGAGCTGCCTTGGACGGAGAAGAAAGATGGGGAGGGAGAGAATAGAAAAATGGAGAATTGTTATGAAAATAAAAAAAGAAGGGAGTATACTAATATAAATTAAATAATATAATATTAATATATGTAGAGTAAATAATATAATATTAAGATTTGTTAATTATTCTGTTTTTTAGTCCGACACTGCACCAAATGCTTCACTAAGTCAGTCCAGCTTAGTTCTTGAAACTAAAATAATGATCGTGATCATAAACTGTTTCATTCTTTTTCTTTTTTTTTCTTAGTACAAATGAGTGCATGATACCTATTTGAAAACTCCCAAAAAGATAAAGAATAAGTTTCTAGAGCT